GATTACCTCAAAACATGTGGGGGGAAGCTGTTTTAACAGCAAATCATATTCTGAATAAAATACCACCTAAAGGGAAAGATGAGACTCCTTACGAAATGTGGAAAAATCGTAAGCCGTCTTATAAATACCTGAAAGTGTGGGGGTGTTTGGCTAAGGTTTCAATACCGGAACCCAAACAAATGAAAATCGGGCCAAAGACGATCGATTGTGTATTTATTGGATATGCGTACAATAGTACAGCATAGAGATTTCTGGTTCATAAATCAGAAAATCCAGAGGTATCTGTTGGTACCACGATTGAGTCGAGGAATGCTATATTCTTTGAGAATATTTTTCCTCTGAAGGAAAGAGCAGAATCTAGTTCTAATAAACGAATGTATGAAACTGCTAGTGGTTCTTTACCAGAGGGTACTGATGAAGAACCAAGACGTAGTAAAAGGTTAAAAACGGCGAAAATATTTGGACCTGATTTTATTACGTACATGTTGGACGATGAACCGAGCTCCCTTAAGGAAGCTTTGTCCAGCCCAGATGGACCACTCTGGGAAGAAGCTGTAAATAGCGAAATCGAGTCCATTATGCAGAACCATACTTGGGAGTTGGTTGATCTCCCTGATGGTTGTAAACCTTTAGGATGCAAGTGGATCCTAAAGAAGAAATATAAAGCTGATGGATCGATTGATAAGTTTAAAGCACGTTTGGTGGTCAAAGACTTTAAACAAAAAGAAGGGTATGATTTCTTTGATACCTATTCACCAGTTACGCGTTTAACGTCGATAAGAGTGCTTCTCTCGATTGCTGCTTTGCACAATCTTGAGATTCACCAAATGGATGTCAAGACGGCATTTTTAAATGGTGAATTGGAAGAAGAAATATACATGGAACAACCTGAAGGGTTTGTTGCACCTGGACAAGAGAGAAAGGTGTGTAGATTGATCAAATCCTTGTACGGACTGAAACAAGCTCCGAAACAATGGCATTTGAAATTTGATGACGTGATGTTGTCAAATGGTTTCAAAATCAACGAATGTGACAAATGTGTTTATGTCAAGAGTACATCAAATGCATTTGTGGTTGTATGTGTATATGTAGACGATATGTTGATCATGGGGAGTAGCCATGAAGTGATCATGGATACGAAAAGAATGTTGAAAAGAAATTTCGACATGAAAGATATGGGTTTGGCTGATGTTATTCTTGGAATAAGGATTATCAGAACCCAAGATGGAATTGTCTTGTCACAATCTCATTATGTAGAGAAAGTGCTCAAGAAATTTGATACCAATGACGGTGCACAGTCTAGGTGTAAGACGCCCCTTGATCTTAGTATAAATCTGGTAGTCAATAAAGGTCAACCAGTGGCTCAGTTAGAATATTCACGGATAATAGGGAGTCTGATGTACTTGACGAATTGTACACGACCAGACTTAGCCTATCCGGTGAATAAGTTGAGCAGATTTACGAGCAATCCCAGTCATGAGCACTGGAATGCTTTGGGAAGGGTACTTAAGTACTTGAGGTACACCCTTGAATACGGGCTAAAATACTCGAGATATCCAGCCGTACTTGAAGGGTACTGTGATGCAAGCTGGATATCAGATTCGAGAGATTCTCGCTCCACTAGCGGTTATGTATTCTGTATTGGAGGAGGTGCAGTTTTGTGGAAATCCACAAAACAAACGTGTATAGCTCGGTCAACGATGGAATCGGAGTTCATAGCTTTAGATAAAGCTGGTGAAGAAGCCGAGTGGCTTAGAAATTTTTTATTCGATATTCCATGTTGGGATAAGACTTTGCCGCCTGTGATGATTCACTGTGATAGCCAAGCTGCTATAGGTAGGGCGCAAAACAACTTGTATAACGGTAAGTCTAGACATATTCGTCGTAGACATAATACCGTACGCCAATTGATCACAAATGGTGTAATTTCCATTGAATATGTGAAGTCTAATGAAAATTTGGCTGATCCTTTGACGAAAGGATTGAATAGAGATCAATTGGTAGTTTTGCTAGAGGGAATGGGCTTAAAAACCCACAATGTATAAGAATGACCATAGTGGTAACTCTACCATGCTGAATGGAGATCCCACAAACTTGGTTCAAAGGGAAAACTAAGCTATGAAAATTCAGTTGAGCACTTGGAACATATGAATGTCCAAAGCTATTCCCTAGAGCACTCCAAGTGCAAGATGACCTGTTGATTGTGGTGAGGGTAAGTCATGTGGACTTTTAATGAATCCTTAACCTTGTAATGGTGGAGTATGACAGGATACTCTTGATAGGGAGGTCACCTATATAAGTGTGAAGTGTGGGCCGCTTCAAATGTAAACACTTATGAATCCATTGTGTTGTGCATGGCCAAAACGGACACAACGATAGAACGGAATGGAGTTAAAGTTCTATTGTGTGAATGTCATTGTCTCGGTGTACACTACGGAGGAATAGTTCAAGGCATTATGTCCACTAGTCCGCCAGTGCATCCGATGATGTTTACAAAGAAAGGTTCAAAGACAAAAGCTACCTTTTCTGATACAATAGACTTTTGTGAGGATTGAGCACAATGGTATAATTTACACTCATGTGGGAGATTGTTATAATGAGTGTTAAATTGATATTTTAATTAATATTCTTCCTAATATTCCTATTCTTCTTCCTAATATTCTTATTCTTCCTAATATGCTAACCTCTCCTTCTACTACAAATTTTAATGGTTAGTCAACCATTTTCCAACCACACTATAATTATTTTATAACCACTTGATACCAATTTACTTTCATTTGTGTATATATATATATATATATATCACATTTGATGAGAAGTGAACGAGAGAATTGAGAGAAAAGAAGTGAGAAAGAGACGGAAAAACAAAAATTCAGGGAAAAAGAAAGAAAAAAAAGGGAAGAAAAAAAAAATAGAAAATAAAATATAAAAATATTTATTTGTTATCAAAATAACAAAAGAAAGATATTTTTATTTTTATTTTTTAGTACTCAATTCTCGACTCCGTTCCAGTTCGCCGGAGCTCGTAAATCTGGTGTGCTACAGATTTAGAGACGTTTGCCGTTGTATCTTTGGGGAAGTTACGCCAGAACCGTTAGCTGCCACACGGGGCGTATTCTTCTTGCAGAAAGAGTTTTACTCGCCTCGACTAAAATCTTTCCGTTTGTGTTTTTAAGTTTCTTTTTTATTTTTCAGTTGTAATTTATTTTTTCAGTTCAATTGTAATTTTTTATTTTTAGATTATTTGTAAGAACTGAAAAAAAAAAAAAAAATCATATCAGTTCGTAGGATTTTCGTGTACTTTTTATACCCGAAGTATAACACCGTGTACGTTAGAATGTATCCGTTTAACAGAAAAAGAAGTGAACGAGCCTCACCCCATCCATCCCTTAGGGAAATTTCTTAGTTAAAATTGGCGGCCGACTGCGCGTTGAACGTAGTCCCAGAACCAAATCGTAGGCGGCGGACTTGCTAATTCGCTGCATAGGTTCCCCACCGGTCACGAACATCTGAAGCCGCACCACTTCACGGATCCCCGCCACTAGGTTGACCTAGGAATTAAGAAGTTGGAAGAAGAAGAGGAGAAATTAGGGAAGAAATTTGAGAGTTTGTGATCTGCACAGTAAAAATTGAGAAAGGAGAATTTGAAGTGGTGCGTTCGTCGAAAAGAAAGGAATAGAGGAGAAGAAGAAGATAAAAACAAAAAGAAAACCGCTTGAAATTGTCGTTAAAAACAACGTATTTCTGTAAAAATGAATGTATATAAAATAGAAAAACTGATACAAAAATAAAGATATATAATGGCTTATAAATAAATAAATAAATTAAATAACTAGTCATAAGACACCATTTTCTCCTACAATGCTTATATAAATGACTAGGCCTGGCATAGGAGTTATCATATTTCGTTGTTTTTTAATTTGACAAAACAATTATAGCCCAGTTAAGTTCTGGGCTTCATTGGTATTTGGTACCAGGCCATTGCATAACGGGGCCATGCATACAGGCTCGTGCGCATGCAATGACCTTTTAAGTAACACATGTACTATATATTTCGAAAGCTCTAGTCATATACCAAACACCATGCGATTTGAAAATAATAATAAAAAGAAACCACAAATAGTCAAAGTTAGTATATATGCACTTGAGAAAAAGAAAAAAATGCACTTAAAAGAAATTGTAAAGAAACAAATAAATGGGAATTTATTGGTAAAGGCGTAAAGGTTTTTTCTTATTTGGGTTCAGTAAATAAGGACCGTCAGATTATGAGCCGCAGCATGAGCGAGATGCAGTGTCTAGAAATTTCAAGTTTGATGCCATATGCCAATGGTTAGATTCGGTAGAATCTGGGTCTTCACTTTGTTCACTCCAGCTTCCATATATGTTAGGACCCCATAGTGTGAGAAAACGCCAAAACTGTCACCTATCAGATAAGTTAAATATATTTTTGAAGGACCTATAACAAAAACATGTGATTGCATGAACACAAATTCCTTTATTTCTACTGTTTTAATTGTATTTTTAAACGTACAGAAACAATTACAACACCCAACAAACAAACTAAACTATACTCATCTCTCTCTCTCTACGAAACTAGCTCACATCTATATACGATCGAATTAGACCATTAGTTATTATTCTAGTTTTTCTCACGCTACGAAACTAAACAAACTGTAAAAAATGGATTGAAAAAAACATAGAGAAAAAAGTCAAAAGTAGAAAGTCCCATTCACAATCACAACCCCAAAGTGTAAGGGAGTTCTAGCACCTTCCTTCACTTTTAAAATCAAAAAACGAAAAAATAAATAAATAAATAAATAAAGGGAGAAGAATAATAGACCCACGTTCATCAAGAAGCTTCGAGCCACCCCATTTTCAGCCGTCGATCCAATCTTTCCTCCACGTGTCAGCATAACACTCCATCAAAACTCTTAGCCGTCAGTCACTCTAACCACTATATAATCTCCACCTTCTTCAACCTTGAGTTTCGCCCAAACGAAACCAAACCCAAAATTTAACAGTCACGTAATCAGCACATTGAACTCTCAACTTCATCTCTCGACGTCAACTCTCTTCGATTTTTTCTGGTCTTACGCACACAAGTTTTCATGGCCCCGGAAATAGTGGCTGCGGGGACAATGACGGCTGATTTGGCCAAGCCGGCGGTGTTGCCGAGCAGAGCTTACGTCACTTTCTTGGCCGGCGACGGAGATTACGTAAAGGGTGTCGTCGGCCTCGCCAAGGGCCTGCGGAAGGTGAAATCCCTTTACCCACTCGTGGTGGCGGTGCTGCCCGACGTGCCGGCGGAGCACCGCCGCGTGCTGGAAGAACAGGGCTGCATCGTCCGGGAGATCGAGCCCGTATACCCGCCGGAGAATCAGACGCAGTTCGCGATGGCGTATTACGTCATCAATTACTCCAAACTCCGCATTTGGGAGGTACGTCGATTGAGTTGTTTGAGCTTTGAACGGTGCCTGCATGACAATTCTGTTAACGCACGCTAGGTGTTTGTTTAATTGGAAATTTGAAATATCAATCAAAGCACTGATTCTTGCCTTGTTCTCGAGCTAAGCGTTTTTAACTGACCTGAACTGAAAACACTGTAGTTTATCTCCTTTTCAAAAGTCGAATGTTGAAGTCATGTATGTTTCTTGGAATGGTTTTGTTGTGGTGCAGTTTGTGGAGTATAGCAAGATGATATACCTGGACGGTGATATTCAAGTGTATGATAACATTGATCACCTGTTTGATTTGGAGGATGGACATTTGTATGCCGTTATGGATTGTTTCTGTGAAAAAACATGGAGCCACACTCCTCAGTACAAGATCGGCTACTGCCAGCAATGTCCGGACAAGGTGAAGTGGCCGGAAAATCTGGGCCAGCCGCCGGCTCTTTACTTCAATGCCGGCATGTTCGTATTCGAGCCGAGCCTCTTGACATATGAGAATCTCATGAGCACACTCAGGATAACTCGACCTACTCCGTTTGCAGAGCAGGTGAATCTTATGTTTATAAAATATGCCTGATTCTTGTGAGGTTATATGTTCGCTATTCTTACTCTGGCAATGGCTCAAATGGGGCATTTCTTTCTTGCAGGATTTCTTGAATATGTTCTTCAGGGACATTTACAAGCCAATTCCAAACATCTACAATCTTGTTCTTGCCATGTTATGGCGCCACCCGGAGAATGTCGAGCTCAATCAAGTGAAAGTTGTTCATTATTGTGCGGCGGTGAGTGCTTGTTCGGTCGGGACAAATTTTCTTTCCTTTTTTCTTTTTTTTTTTTTTTTTTTTTTTTTTTGGTTAAATATGAAATTGGGTTGGGCTTTTTCGTANTATTTATTGTTGGTGCTTGATTTCTAACAAGATTGAGTTTGTGTGGATATTGCAACAGGGTTCTAAGCCATGGAGGTACACTGGGAAGGAGGAGAACATGCAAAGATCAGATATTAAGATGCTGGTGAAGAAGTGGTGGGAAATTTTCAATGATGAGTCTTTGAACTATAAGAAATCGGTGGCTCAGAATGAGGGAGCTCTCGAGCCAGGAGTTTTGCAGCCATTGATTGTGGCGGCCATGAATGAGGCTAATGCGACTGGAAGGAAGTTTATAGCAGCCCCTTCTGCAGCATAATTGTAGAATGGGAAGTCTTGGTCATGGGGCATTTTGTGAACTGAGAGGAAGAGCTTGCATTAGAGGGTTATTTGGGCAGGGACGAAGTTGTTTCTATTTGGGGCGTGTAGTATTTTATTTTATTTTCTTTTCTTTTCTTATGCTTGTGTTGTTGTAACTTGTAATGCTGGGTTTTGTTGTCCCAATCTTTTGTAATTGGAAAATAATTGGGAATGTTGCTATTGATGATATCAAAACTTGGGTTGTTTCAGCTTCTGTATTGCCTTTAAGTGAGGTGCAAGTGTGTGTGTAGTCATCAAGTCTGTTTTCTGTTTGTTTAATTATTTTAATAATATTGAATTAGAATCTATATCTATATCTATATTTTATAGGGTTAATTGTAAAAAAAAGCCCAATCTTTCTTAAAGTTGCAAAAAAAACTCAACTTCTTCAATATAGCATAAAAATACCCAACCTTTCAAAATTTTTGCAATTGTGTCTCGAAGGAAGATTCCGGTCAATTGGAGCTGAGGTGGCTTACCGGAAAATTGACACGGGCAGCGACACAGTTCTTCTACTCCTCACTGACGCACAGTTCTTATCCCTTCTCCCCATCACATTCCCTGTCTCCTTCCTCCCCTAATCCAACGGCCCCAGATGGATCTCAGCCCGAGGTGCATCCAAACGAAATTGTTTCATACTTCAGAGAATGGTTCGTGTCCCGAAAGAAACCCTTCTTCGACACCGTCTTCGAGATCCTCCGCACCCAGGAGGAGTCCGCTGCCGACTCAGCCCTTTCCCGATTGTATCTCAGGCTATCGGAAATCCTAATTCTCGATGTGTTGGATTACGGCAAGAAGAACGTCCTCTCCTGCTTGAAATTCTTCGATTGGGCCGGCCGGCAGCCGGGCTTCCACCACACGAGAACCACGTTCGATGCCATTTTCCTGATTATATCCAAAGCCAAGATGATGAACTTGATGCTGCAGTTTCTGCAGAACTATATGAAGCAGAGGTATTTTCACAAGATCAGGCATTACAACATACTGGTGATGGGTTATGCCGTGGTAGGTAAACCCGAGATTGCACTCCAGGTGTATGGCGAAATGCGGTTCCTAGGCGTGGACCTTGACGAGCTAGCTTACCATGTGCTCCTGAACTCTTTCATCGATCATTGGTTATTTTGATGTTGTGGAGACTGTAGCTCGCGAGATTAGACTTAGAGGCTTCCAGAATGAGATCACGCATTCGATTATGATGAAGAGTTTCTGCAAGCGGAATGAGTTGGAGAGAGGTGAAGAGTATTTGCACGACACGGGCCGTAACACGGTCATCTTGCCCGTGTCGTTGCCCGTGTCAATTTTCTGATAACCCACCTCAGCTCCAATTGACCGGAATCTTCCTTCGAGACACAATTGCAAAAATTTTGAAAGGTTGAATATTTTTATGCTAGATTGAAGAAGTTGAGTTTTTTTTGCAACTTTAAAAAAGGTTGAGTTTTTTTTGCAATTAACCCTATTCCATAAAAAGGTTTGTATTTACCTGAAATAATAACTAAAAGCCCGCAATTTTTTTTTTCAAATTTTACTTTTCTTAGTAACTTTTTTAAATATTTATGAAAAGTGGCGGCAAATCATTTAAAATTCAAACTAAAAAAATCAATATAATTAATGTGCAAAATCATTTTGGTCAAATATTGCGGCTATTACCTTTATTAGTTGCATAGTTAAAATTTAGTATATAATATTGTTGATATCAAATCCAGTAATCAGAATCAAAGGTACTAAGTCGGAATATATTATAGCAAATTACCGACTTCTTAAGAATTGCCGATTTCCGAAAGATCCAACTTCCGACAGACTTTCAAAAAAGGATCAAAACCGACATCCGAAACCGACGTAAGTAAACCGACTCCAAATCAACCGACTACCATAAAGTTTGAGCATTCCAACAGAAAGTAATCATTAGAAGCATCTGATTGGACCAACAAAACAAAAAGGCAATCATTGATGTTTCCCGCCGCCTCAAAACAAAGCAGCTCAATATTAAATGCATCTCTATCCATTTCGAGGAAGAAGACAAAAGCCACCGTACTATAAATAGCAGAATTTATGATAGTACTAGGATCCTTCCGATCACATTGTACACGAACTTAAGACAACCTCGGTTTTCAGCTTAAAACCGACTTCTGTACTCTTGTGAACACCATCAATAATATCTAATCAAATAGTTATCCTTATTTTTCGAACATCAACTGTGTTAAATTTTAAGTTGCTAATTCAGGACAGCAACAGTTTGGCGCTAGAGGAAGGGCCTTTCTCTTTTCAATTGTTTGTCTTGTAAAACAACGCGCAAAGGATGTCAAATTCTGGACGAAATGAACGAAATCCTGACCCTGGGATCAATCGTCATCCAACTCATACAACCGGAATTTCTGCCGTGCCATCTACATCAATTGATTATTCAGCTCTATTTCAAGATCCAGAGTTCTTGAAAAACTTAACTGATTTTATGGCACGAACAAGAATAGAATCAACCCCAGCGGCTAATCCTCAAACTCGCTCAACTCCAGTTCCACGAAGAAATAATATTCCTGCAACATCACATGCAACTTCCCATCCACGTACACATGAATCACAACATGATGCAACGACTCAAAATCGTGGGGTAGTTCCAGTACAAACTCGAGTTCCAGAACCAGCGCGATCAGAAGCGACTGCAGAAAGCCATTCTGGACATCGACCACAACAGCCTACTCCGTTGTTACCAGGACTATCACGACATGATCAACCTTCTGATTTACGACACACTCTTGAACAAACTCATGCTCGTCGTGGGCAGAATGAATTACGTCGTTTGATTGAAAGAAATCGTCAAAGACGCGAATCAGAAGAGTTAGAAATGTTGAGAAAAAGAATTGCTGAGCTGGAGACTTGTCAAGGTGAACATGGAGGACCGCCACGACGAACTCCAGTGATAGAAGAGACGTATCAAGAGGTTGGAACTCCCTTAGCTCCTCACCTGACCAGAGAACCAATCCCAACTAAAGTGAAAGTTCCGCAAATCGGCTTATATGATGGAACTTCCGATCCTGATGCCCATCTCGGTCAGTACACGTCTTGGATGGATCTTCATGGAGCGAATGAAGCACTCAGATGTCGGATGTTTTCCTTAACTTTGGGACCACGAGCTCAAAAATGGTATCATTCTCTATCTCGGTATTCAATTTCCACATGGCAGCAGTTGAGAACGGCTTTCCGCTCTCATTTTATCGGGGCCCGAGTATCTTTAATTCCCAAGGAATCAATCGCAAATATTGTACAAAAAGATGATGAAAGCGTGAAAGACTACATTACTCGGTTCAACGAACGCGTACAAAATATGGAGCAATGCCATCCCGAAACGCTATTGGTCACAGCCATAGCCGGATTGAAGCCAAATTCGTTGTTCCGATGGAGTATATGTCAAAATAAACCGACTTCGTTTCAAGACTTTCTAGCTCGGACTCAACAACATATTTTAGCCGAAGAATCAATGTCGGTTCCCAATATTGACTTTTCCTCGTTAAAGTCGGAAGTCGGGCAAGAATCAAAAAAGAAGAAAAATAAATTTTTCAAGCCAAATAAGTCTCGATTTGGGAATCCAAAAATCCCTGAAGTGCAAGAAGCTAGAACTAAATATCTCAATGAAGTTAAATCCAGCTACCAGACGGTATTCTCGGCAGGAGCAGCAACAATATTTGAGGAATTAAAAGGGAAGGGAATTCTTCCTGATCCTCGACCTGTCAGAACACCCGAAGAAAAACTTGATAAAACAAGATATTGTTCATATCATAAGTCGGCAGGCCATAATACCGATGAATGTCTCGGTTTACTTTCTGCCTTGTTGCGACTTATTGGACATCCTCAAGTCCAAAGATTTGCCAAGAATGTTGATTATAAACGAAAAGGAAGAATGCCTGATTTACCAGACGATGAAGACGATGAAGAGCGTCCAATTAATCCGAAACGGGTGAGATCAAATGAGAAAGAAATATATATGACGAATCAACGAGAAAAAGACTCGACTGAAATGATGTATCGAGGAGGATACTATAATCCTGACAACTCACACCATGTACCCCGGGTTAATAACAGCAGTAATGCAACGTTGGAATCACGGAGACAAATAAAAGCGTACGCACGAAAAGCTTTTAACTCGGGAAAAACAGTTTTAACTACTGACCTCCGAGATAAAATTAATGCTCGGAACAATTGCCCGATCACATTCAATGTTGACGATGCAAGCTATTTTGCTCACCCTCATGCTGATCCCTTGATAATCACGGCACCCATCTGTGGAATACCGATACATCGTATGTTGGTGGACACTGGAGCATATTCAAGTATCATGATGTTACGTACATTTGAACAAATGGGAATCGATCCAGCCGAGCTAAAACCCTGTAAAGATCAAGTACAAGGCTTTAATGGAACAATAACGACAACCCTTGGCGAAATCACTATGCCAATTCGGTTCGGAATCCCTGGACAGGCCTCCAAAGTTATTATGGAGACATTCAAGGTGATGGATCTTAAAAATCAATATAATGCCATCATTGGACGGACTGCTTTATACAAGCTTCGTGCAGCTGTATCAATATTTCATTATGCTCTAAAATTTCCTACTAATAATGGAGAAGGAACTCATTATGGAGACCAGTACGAAGCTCGCGGAATGGTATGGGTTAGACCCTGGCATGAACCCTGTATGCCTGTACATATGATGGAGGATATTGAAGAAAGTCGAGAAAATTCAACACTCATTAACTCGGAATCATGCAATACCGAGATGGAACTCGATCCTGTGAAATCAAACAACGATTTGATTTGTGATCGTGGAAGACGTCCGGGAAAAGAGCCAATTAAAGAAGAAGACGTACTTGATCCTCGAATTCAGTTTAAGGAGAAAAGCAAACTTGAACGAGCCGAACCATCAGAAGAGGTCGAAATAATATTCATTGATGATCCAGTTTGTCACAAGTCGGTGCAAATTGGGGCCAATCTTCAAGAACCACTGCGAACTCGGCTCATTCAGTTCCTCAAAGCCAATTCCGACGTATTTGCCTGGAAACACGAAGATATGAAAGGAATTGATCCAAAGGTCGCTTCTCATCGACTTAACTTGGATCCAACAATTAAACCAGTGGTCCAAAAACGACGCAAACTCGGTCCTGATCGACAGAAAGCTCTCGAAGAAGAAGTTCAAAAACTGGTTGACAACAAATTCATTCAAGAGACCAAATACCCGACTTGGGTGTCAAATCCTGTTCTCGTGAAAAAGAGCTCTGGTGCATGGCGACTTTGCATTGATTTTACCGACTTAAATAAAGCCTGTCCCAAAGACAGTTACCCTTTACCGCATATCGATTACATGGTGGATGCCACAGCCGGACATGAATTGATGAGCTTTATGGATGCATATTCAGGTTATAATCAAATTCCAATGGACCCTGACGAGGCAGAACATACATCTTTTTATTCAGCCCGAGGATTATATTGTTATACTATGATGCCGTTCGGTCTTAAAAATGCTGGGGCCACATATCAGAGGCTGGTTAATAAAATGTTCGCCAAACTCATCGGACATACCATGGAAGTTTACGTGGATGACATGTTAGTCAAGTCGGTTCATGCGGCCGATCACATTGATCACTTACAGGAAATGTTCAACATCTTGAGAGAATATTCAATGGTGCTTAACCCAAAGAAATGTACTTTCGGAGTCGGTTCTGGAAAATTCTTAGGATATGTTGTCACTCAGCGGGGTATTGAAGCCAATCCAGTGAAAATAAAGGCAATTATGGATCTTTCACCTCCCACATCGGTAAAAGGAGTTCAAGCTCTTACCGGCCGACTTGCTGCCTTAAATCGATTTCTATCCAAATCAACAGATCGATGCAAACCCTTCTTTGAATCTATAAAGAAAGGAAAATGCTTCGAATGGACAGAAGAATGTCAACTAGCTCTGGATAAAATAAAAGAAACACTTCTTCAAATCCCGACTTTACAGAAACCGATTCCCGAAGAAATGCTATACCTATATTTGGGGGTAAGTAACTCTGCAATCAGTGCTGTTCTTATTCGTGAAGAAGGACGTCAACAATATCCAATCTACTATATCAGTAAGGCCTTACATGAAGCTGAAT